CAGCAGGAGGGAGAGGCTATCCATCTATGAGGGCTGAATATAGTATGAAAGGCACCACAGGTGAGACTTGAACATGTCAAGTCTCTGTGAGCCTCAGTTTCCTCATGTATCTATTGGGAATAATAACAGTATTTTCCCCACAAAGTTCTTCATTTAGCCAGTGCCTAATGCATTAAAAGTACCCCATTATTAAGATTACTATTAATATCACGGTCTCATGTCCTCCCTTTCTTACAGCTCAGGGAGTTCACTGACCCATTAGGAAAACCAGGTTGGAGTCCTCAAGTGAAAATTGCAAACTTTTCCTTGCACTTTGGAAGAAGGCTGAATTACCAACATTCAGAGTTGAATGAATTGGGGTGGGAGGGGGCGGGCTGCAGGAAATGAGGAAGAAGGGAGAGGAAGAAGGGAGCAGGTCACAGCAAAGAGCCTCATTAAAATGGACCTCTCCTGCTAATCTTAGACCTGATATCAAATAAGTTTAAGGGCCTCCATTTCTTCATCCATTAGATGGGATAAATTATACCTCAACAGGGCTGCTATAATGAGTCAGTGGGATAAGTAAAGAGAACACCCAGTGTAGTATCTTGCATTTTGTGAATGTATACTATGTATTTATTAAAAATAATAATATGAGTCAGGATGGTAAGCCCTCAAAGGAATGGTGAACTGTGCCTCCGGGGAACAGGGCTGGCAAGTGGCAGAATGGTAACAGGGTAGGAGGCAGCAGAGTGGTGACACAGGCTTCCTATCCACGGCAGCCCACACACAGCTGGGAGTCAGGTCCCTGATTATCTGTCATGTTGTACGAGCCCAGATTCAACTGGCAAAGACCTAAATGAAGGCTTGAGGGCCCATCTGGAGCAATGCCTTACACTCCAGGTGGGAGGGACCCAAGATGGAGCTCTCCAGTATGGCTCCTGCCAACATGGGATCTCCAAAGCTGGAGGAGAAAAGAGCTGGGTGATGAGTCTGGCAAAGCCTCCCTCTGCCAGCTCAGGTCTTAAGAGTCACTCACCCACAAGTCCAGCCTGCTGCAGGCCCCAGAGGGCAGCACCTGTTGTGAAGGCATTCCAGAGTGTGCCCACCACGGCATAGGTGAGGATGGCACCTAAGTTGTCAAACAGCAGCCGGCTAGGCATGAAATAGCCTGAGTCTAGCACGATAGGAGGCAGAAGGAAAAGGAAGAAGGTGCCTGGCTCCAGCTGGTACTCAGCTTTCTTGGCCACAGCCAAGACAATGCCTCCAAGCACCAGTCCCAGTAAAATCAGCAGGCAGCTCTCAGGGACCACGGACGTCACCTTCCGAGACAAGTGAAACACTGCAATGCAAGAAGAGGGCCAGAAGTTTCAGCTCACAGGACAGACAGACACACACATACACACACATCCTGCCCTATAACCTCCCAGTCTTAGAAGGTTATCCAAGGTCAGGACCCCTGACCCTGGGACCAAGGAAGGAGAAAAGAAATGCGGGTTAGATCTCCAACGTTCCAGGCTACAAAGTTGTCTATTTCTTGGTGCTCCTACCATGGTAATCTAGACCCGTGGTCGGCAAACTGCGGCTCACGGGCCACATGCGGCTTTTTGGCCCCTTGAGTGTGGCTCTTCCTAAGCCTTAGGAGTACCCTAATTAAGTTAATAACAATGTACCTACCTGTATAGTTTAAGTTTAAAAAATTTGGCTCTCAAAAGAAATTTCAATCATTGTACTATTGATATTTGGCTCTGTTGACTAATGAGTTTGCCGACCACTGACCTAGACCATTGCTTGATTTTTCCATTTCCAGAATTCCCCCTCCTCACCACTTCATTTTCAGGGGACCTCACCTTTCTCTGATTTCCCTTATTCATCATCATTATTTGAACCTCAGCAAATGCTACTCAATATACTTTTATGTATAACATAGGTGTAAAAATCAGGGCCTCGCCCTGACCAGTTTGGCTCAGTGGCTAGAGCATACGCCTGTGGACTGAAGAGTCCCAGGTTCGATTCCGGTCAAGGGCATGTATCTTGGTTGCGGGCACGTCCCCAGTAGGGGGGGGGTGTAGGAGGCAGCTGATCAATGTTTCTAACTTTCTACCCCTCTCCCTTCCTCTCTATAAAAAAATCAATAAAATGTATTTTAAAAAATTTGTGTATATGAACATATAAAAGTTTCTATTATAGCAGTTGCTTATTGGGCAGCATAGCAGAGTGAAAGAGTACAGATCTGTAACTTAGATCTCCAATTCTTCTGTCTCTATCACTTCCTAATTGTGTGATCTCAAGCATATTATTTAATTTATCTGAACTTCAATTTCTTCTCCTATAATATGGGGGGAAAACCCATTACACAGGGTGAGGATAAAATGATATAGTGGGAACGTGCCTAGTAGGATGTTGGATAAACAGCTGGTTCTCAAATGTTAATTAAATATGACTCTGGCCCAGCCGGCTGTAGCTCAGCGGTTGAGCATCGCCCCAGGAACCAAAAGGTCACGGATTCGATTCCCAGTCAGGGCATATGCCCAGGTTTCAGGCACGATCCCCAGTGGGGGGCGTGCAGGAGGCAGCCAATCAATGATTCTCTCTCATCATTAATGTTTCTCTCTCTCTCTCCCTCTCCCTTCCTCTCTGAAATCAATAAAAATATATTAAAAAAATAAAAAATAAACATGACTCTGGGGCAAAATAATAACAGATGTGTCTCTAGGAAAAGAGAAGGTGGTATGAAATGGGAGTCAAGAATGGGGTTTGCGGAGAAGTTCCACTTCTACCCTTTCCTCTAAAGTAAGTTCTCCCGGCTTTCTGTTGGTCCCTGAGGCCATGAGTGAACACCTCTCCCCATGCAAGCCCTTGGGGTGGTGGGTAGTGGGGTAGGTCTCCATGTTAGCCTGTGTGAGATTCAATGCCAAGACAGTGCCCTTTGGGAGCCCCTCCCCCAAAGGACCTAGGGCAGTGTCTGGCACATAGTGGGATCTACATAAAGATTGTTGAGCCTGGCCGGTGTGGCTCAGCTGTTGAACTTCAACCTAGGAACCAAGAGGTCACTGGTTCAATTCTGGTCAGGGCACATGCAAGCTCAACCCCCAGTAGGGGGCATTCAGGAGGCAGCTGATGGATGATGTTCCTCTCTCATTGATGTTTCTATCTCTATCCCTCTCACTTCCTCTCTTTACAAAACAACAATAATAAAGCATATTTTTAAAAAAGATTTGTTGAATAAAAAGGGTGGAGGAGATCTCCTAGCAATGAAGCTGGAGGGGGGTATCCCAGAACATTCTGCCTATCTTTCTCCTCCTTGCTTTTTTTTTTTTTTTCACTGATGCAAAGGAGGCTCTCTTCTCCTACCTCCAGAGGAGGTGTCATCCAATCTAGGAAAAGCACTGATTTATGGGGGAAACTACAGTCATTGCCATAAGCCTAAGTAAGACTGGAACTCTCCTACAGCTCACACACTTCTCAGCAAACCCCATTCTTGGCTCCCAAATCTGAGGCTCCTCTTACCTTGCTGCCAGGCCCTAAGCTAAGTTCCGTCATAGATCTCCCACAGACTATCTTTGGTTCCCCCCTCTCTTCTCCTCTAGGAACCCCATTCCATTGTCATCTCCAGAGCATGCATCAACCCCAGCAAGTCAATACCCATCACCAAAGCCTGTTCTCTGACGGCATTTAAGGCCCCCTTTTCCATTATCAATGGGCTGCCACAGCAGAGCCGAGAGTTCTTCAGTTCCTGCTCAGCCTCCCTCCTCTCAGCAGTGTCCCTGGGGGAGGAGGGGGCAAATTCTAGTCTATGTGATTCCTACGTGTACTGGTGAGATTGGAGTACAGACTGTGCCAGCATAGATGGGGAGCTAGTAGCAACACAGCTATAATTAGTCACCCCCACAGCACAGTCTCAACAACAGGGAAAGGGAGGAGGGTCTCTGATGGGAGGAGGGGCCACTGGCTGTTCTGCAGTGGGGAGGAGGGAACAGGGGCTAGGAAAAGCTGCACTATTCAAGGAAAGGATTCTGAAGCATAACCTTCAATGTTGTGTAGACTGAAGGAGGTCGGGAGTAGGGAAGCATCTAGTGCTGGCAGCGCAGAGTCAGGCCCCAATAAATGGAAGTTTCTTATGCCCTGAAGTGGGAAGAGACTGCAGACCTGAACTGGAAGGGCTGGGGAGGGGTCCCACAGCTAGGCACAAGGAGACATCTTTCCGGGACTAGAGGAAAAGTGACAGTTTAGATTCCCGAAAGAGTGGGACACTTGGACCTGGTCTCCAGGGACCAGGATGCCTGGGTTTCCCCCAAGAACACCATCCCCTCAATGTCCCCTCACGTCCTCACCACTGCCAGCGGTTTCTGGGTGGCCGGGGACTGGTGGAGAAGGGAGACCTGAGG